TATATATATATGCTGAAACTCTTACTAAAGAAGAAGTGGGAACTTTTCCCAACTTTGTCACATATATATATTGAAATCGTTTGGGAAATGATAATGAGATGTGGCTTAACGAATTAAGAACACTTGGAGACTAGATGGTGATTTAGGGGTGACTAATCACCTAAAAACTTGCCACCTCATAACATTAATAGAAGGTCAAATTTTCCCAACATGACCACTAAGTTTGCTCACGGTAAAAATGGAATTAATTGGGAAAATTCCTCATGAATTAATCCATGACATTGCTTACGGCATTATGGCCTCTAGCATGATTAATTTTTTTAATTAATCATGATTAAGTGTTTAATTACTTAATTAAGCATAATACTTAATTACCAAAATTATTCCGAACGTAAACGGTACGTCGAAAGTAATTTTCGGTAATCTCAACTGAAAATAATTAATTCCGAAAATAATATTCTAACATATTATTATTCTCGGAACTAAAAACATGATTAATATGAAGGGATATCGCTGACTGAATAATTAATTTCGGACTCATTAATTAATTAAATGAATCGAAATTAAATCTGGAAGCTTATTCGGTTTACTGAAATAATTAAACCGAATAACATATATCGATTAATAGTCGAACTTGGAATATGACTAACTGATTGACCTGAATTTGAACATGAACATGATTATTTATTAACAAGGCTAGCTTAAAACTAAAAGCTAGTATTTTCCTTATTAATAAAATACGGGGCGTTACACTTTCGTCCCTTGGAGTCATTATGGATAATGAACTTTATGTGGATCTCATGCTTCAATCTCTGCCATCGTCGTTTGATAGCTTTGTTGTTAACTTTAACATGCATAATATTGAGACTTCTCTACAAGAATTAGTGAACATGTTAAAGACGTCTGTATCCACGTGGGGGATGTTGACGGTTTTGCTGGTAGAGGTACCATGGGCCAGTTTTGCTGGTAGCAGGTGGCAACATGGGGGATGTTGACGGCCGCGACGTTAGTGGAGTAGCTGGTGGCGGCGAACAGGGTGGTTGCGACTGGAAAAAGTTGACAGACGGTAGAGGGGGATGCGAATCGCGGAGGCAGAGGTACCATGGGCCAGTTTTGCTGGTAGCAGGTGGCAACGTGGGGGATGTTGACGGCCGCGACGTTAGTGGAGTAGCTGGTGGCAGCGAACAGGGTGGTTGAGACTGGAAAAAGTTGACAGACGGTAGAGGGGGATGCGAATCGCGGGGGCGGGGCGAGGCTGTTGTGACCGGACGACTGAGGCAAAGTGGCGGACTGGTGGAGGAAGGTGGAGGTTTGTAATGCAGTGGTCGTCGAGAATTCTTTTGTCGTGAGGTCTGGAGCCGGAATCAGAGGATGGTGGCGGCATCGATCTGTCGATGGCCGCGACATGACGGCGAGCTTGTTGCGGTGACGGCGTGCTTCTGTTGCCGACTTTGAGTTGCCAACGGGTGGCAGACGTTTCAG